CACATAAATGAACCAAGCCTTTTAGATTGAGTTTTTGGTGTTGGTAGAGGTATTTCATTTTAGTTCTCACTGCTTTTTCCTGTATTTTTGTACTTTTCTTCTCAATTTTCTTCCACAAACTGCCACTTGATTGATGTAAAACTATAATATATACCACAGATACTGTCCTTCCAAACTAAGTAGTAATTAGAAAAGCATGAAAACCTGTCGTATCCACTTTTGTTTTTAAACTATTGTCCTGTTTCACTTACAGAGCATTTCTTTCCTGTTTCTCTGTGTTTGTATCTGCAGGTGTCTCCGTACCCTCTGGTCCTGTCTTTAGAGAACCACTGCTCTGTAGAGCAGCAGGCCGTCATGGCCAAACACCTCCGCTCCATTCTGGGCAACAGGCTCCTCACCAAACCCCTGACCGACCAGCCCCTGAACCAACTGCCCTCTCCGGAGGTACTAACACATAACAAAACTTCTCTATATCATACGAAAATGCACTTAACTGCAAAACCACAGCTGTACAGTATATATATCAATATATCACTGAGATGTGTACTCTTGTCAAACCACCATTCTAGATTGCACATTTCAGGCAAAGCAATAATATCCAATATATGCCTTCCACCAGAAAAGTTGCATAATGTACCTTTAAAAATCCCATATTACACCATTTTCGATCTATCCTATAATTTTGTTCACAAACATTATTACGCGGCTTAAAGCTCACAATAGTCAATTTAGCGTAATAAAGGACTTTTAAGATATCATCTAGTTTGTTTTATTTGTTTATTGTGTGTTTTAGGAGCTGAAGTATCGTATTCTGGTGAAGGGGAAGAAGCACACCCCTCACCTGGGCCAACTGTCGAAGACTGGGAGCGCGGCCAGTTTCTCATCCAGCACTGACCTGGAGGATCTGGGGACCAGCAGCAAAAACACCCCCAAGAGGGACCCAGCTAAGGTCAGAGAGGCCTGAACCTGTATAGACAAATTTTAATGATCCACATGGGAAATTATTTGGACACAGTAGCTTACACACTACAATATATTAGAGCAAAAATATTAAAAAAATATATAATAATAAATTGAAAATAAGTAGCAAAAACTAAAGGCATAAAGGCATAACCAGGATACAGTGAAACGTTACACATTATAATGGGCTGAATGCATTGTTTTGTTGCCCCTGCTTGCAACAAAACAGACCCATAAACCAGTGCATTTACTCAATTTCAGTGCAGCCAGCAAAGGGTAAATAAAGATAACTGATATAAGCTTAATCTAAATCCTTTGAATAGGCTTGACTCCATGGAGATGTCATTGCATTGCCTAGAATTTTCCACAGTATGGGGTTAAACCGATCCAGCTCTATGAGGAGTAGCACGTGACACTAGGTCAGTTTGTGGAGCGAAAATCCCAGTCACAGTTAAAATGCTTTTTTTTTTCTATGTGTAATATTAAAAGCACTCAAAATGAAATAAATGTAACGTAAACAAGTTCAATGCCATGCAGTGGAATTTCCATGGTGGCGGTCCCTCCATTTAGAAATTTACCATTATGAAATATATAATTTTTTTGGACCTTTCTACCATTTTATAATGTCATTCCCCCATAAAAAAACATGCCTGAAGAGGTTTAAAATGTCCCCCATACGTATTATTATGTATTAGCTATTTGCTATTAAATTTATTATGTATTAGCAGTCAAAACCCCATAGAAGTAAAATGCCCCCTCTTTAAGGCAATTCATTGCAAGAAATATTACAGAAATATATGTCTCTCACGATAACACAGTTTGAACTGCGATATATTGATGAAGTAAATGAAGTAAGCCAAAAAATAACCAAAACTGTCCCCATAGTACAAAGAAAATGTACAGACAATAAATACTCACCCTCAAAAAATATTGTTCCAGCTTTCATATACTGAGCACAAAGTAATCGAGACAGGCCTATGGGAATACTGTTAGCCTCTTTAGAATCCTCTTAATATTGCAATAAATATCTTACCATGAGACAGAAAGAGTGAAAAATATTACATTTGATTATTACATTCCTTTTATAAAGTGCCATAGTAGCTGTCCATGTGTAACCTGTATACCATACCAACTTTATTTAAAAAGCACTTTTAAATACTTTAAATTGATGCTGTACACATAGAATAGACAAAGACAATCACAGTCACAATGTAACTATTAAAACAAGAAGGCACAAGAATATCAAGTTACTTAACAACAAGAAATCTGCAAAACCAGTATGTGATGGACATGTTTTGTTTTGTGTTGGCAGGTCTCTTCCAAACTGAGCCAGGATCTATCAGAGCTGGTGGTATATTGCCGTAGTGTCTCCTTCAGTGGATTTGAAAACACAAATGAAAAAGCTCCAAATGAAATGTCCTCTTTCTCTGAGAGCGATGCCCTAAAGCTGATCAAAGACTCTGGTACAGCCCTGGACATAATCATATTTTCGCATTTCAGACAAAGGCTAAGGTGCACTTTAACGGGCCCTTATTACACTATTTTCTGATCTATGTTATACGTAACGTTGTTTCCTCATCAAAAACATACATGGTGTTTTGTTTCATTCACATGTTTAACACACAGATCCTGCATATTTAGGCTGAGTTCTTCTCTCAAACAGAAAACACTCTGTTCCACCTTGTGATGTCATTTTGTAATACAAGAGCTCCATGTGGGAAGTGCTCCTCTGTGTTTTTAAACCCCATACACCTTCACTAGAATTATTTGGATCATTTCAGCCCCAATCTCGCTTGTTTTTTTAATACTTATTATTATGAATTCATTATTAAAATACATATTTTTGCTTATTGTTATTATATTTATTGTGATGTGTGCTCTATGTCCAAATAATTTCCCTTGTGGATCAATAAAGTTTGTCTAAGTCTAAATCTCAGTCTAAGTTGGAGAAGGTAAAAGGTAGCTGTTAACTTGAAAACTATCGCTTCATTACAACAAGGTGGAACAGGCCATTTTGAACTTTGGAGATGTTTACAGACTAATAGTAAAGAATTAGTCAGACACATGTGAATGAAACAAAACCCAACACTAGGTATGTTTTTGAGGAGGTAGCAACATTATTACATGGCCTCAAGCTCACAAGAGTCGATTTTGTGTAATATAGGACCTGTAATATGGAAAAACAACCTCCAGTGGTTTATGGTATGTGCTTTTGTTTTGATTTTGCAGGAAAGCTCTTTGTACGGCACAACAGCAGGCAGCTGAGCCGGATCTACCCCTCCGGCCAGCGTCTCCAATCGTCCAACTATGATCCTCAGGAAATGTGGAATGGGGGTTGCCAGATGGGTTAGTACTCCAGCCGAGAAGCAGCGATTCTGATAATAGCTAATTAAATTCTTTGTCAATGAAAGAGACACTCAATATTCACAGCTGCCGCTCCATTCTGGGGGTGCTTATGTGTTTTGTGCAAGAAGAAAATCTACATGAGTTGAAGTGCATTGAGCTCTTAATAGTGAATTTAAATGGAGCTGTGTTGATTAGTTTTGATGTATTTATGTTTCCTTAGTTGTAGATTATTTGATATGTTTCTGATTGGTTAAGGTCAAGAAAAATGATCAGCCTTCGTTTAAGAGTCATTTTCTACCCAATATAAGTTAAGTAGTGTTTGCAAAATAAGAAAGCATTAAAATAAATTATTACTGAACAAGTCATACTAGGTTTTATAAAACAAGATTAATCATGACTGAGACACAAATGCAACTGAGTAATTTTCTTGCCCAGTAAAAGGTAAATGTATATATGTGAATAGTTAATACGTTGCTGCAGTTAAACTTGACCTCTATATATGAAATTAAGTAATTTTGTATGCACTGCAATAATAAGTTATTATAGTTTAATAAATCTTACATCACAACTATCCTTCTATATATCACTGATTTTGGTATCATAAATACAGTTTGTCATTTTTACTATGTTTTGTCAGTCATGGTCACATCCAGAAACCAATATCCAGTTTTATATGACAGCAATGACAAAATGAAAGCTACTGCGATCAAACGAAGTATTCATGTGATTTTAAGTCTTTATCGTTATTTCTTTTTATGCACATCTGTAAACTTTATTTTGTAAAATCAATGTTTAAAGGTGCACGGTGTAACATTTCTAGTGGAGGGTCTGTTCCCTGCTTGTCTCCATAGAAATGTTACTGCTTTGTCTAGAATGTCCCACAGGATAAATTAAACCTAATTAGATCTAATCACAAGAGAGACAAGCAGGTTGCAGCAGTACGCCACATCACAATTCAGATCTGTGGGGGGGTCGTCCCTATTCACAGAAAGAATTATTGTATTTTTGAGCAATAGAAACACCTGTAATGAATAAATGCTAGATGTATATCTTTAATGTCATACCATGGAACATTCCATGCCAAGCAATAACATCTCCATGGAGACAAGCAGGTAGTGGAGGCTCTACTAGAAAAGTTGCAAAGTGCACTTTTAAGCTTTCCATGTGACAAAACACAATGAAAGCTACTCAGATCACATTTCAGTATTTGTGATACTAATTTGAACTCCTCTAGACATTTTTTTATGTATAGCTGTAGCACTTTCATCTTGTTAAATCACTGTTTAAATCAATGTTTAAAATGCCTTCCTTCCTCAAAAATTGTTCCTGAATTTTAGGTGGAATTTGATGACATAAATAGAGGAATTCTGTTTTAGAACCTAGAGCTACTTCTTGTATTTCTGTGCTTCTTCTGTGCCCTTAACTAATTTTAAATGAATGCATGAATCTGTCACTCACTGTTTTGAACTTGTTTCTGTGCAGTGGCTCTGAACTTCCAAACCCCGGGGGAGCAGATGGACTTGAACCAGGGCCGCTTCCTTCAGAACGGTCGTTGTGGTTATGTACTCAAACCCAGCTTCATGTGCAGCTCCTCCTCCGAGTTTAACCCTGAAAATACAGGAGGAGGACCTGGCCATGTCCCCACACAACTGACTATACGAGTGAGCCATGTCATTTAAAGGACCTATATTACTCTATTTTCTGATCTATGCTGTAATATTGTTTTCCTCATCACAAACATACCCAGAATTGTGTTTTGTTTCATTCATACATGTTTAACACACAAACATATATACAAGACAGAAGACACTCTACAAGTAATAATGTCATAAGGTAATACTACATATTATTAATTAATTAATTAATGTATTTATTAATTAATTAATTTATTTATTTATTTAATAAGGACAGTGCATATTAATGAACATCTACAACATTACAGTGTAAATATGCCAGATAATAGCAAAAATGCTAATTTCCATTTCCATTACATAGACCCTTACTATTATCATTTGGCTGATTTCAGCCCTGGAATTGCCAATCTCTACTGAACTAAAGATAAACTGTTAACTTGAAAACTACCACTTCATGACATCACAAGCTGGAGTCTAGCTTTTTGAGCTTTGAAGATGTAGACAAACTAATAATAAAGGATTACTCAAATTTGTTTGAATGAAACAAAACACAACTCCAGGTATGTTTTTGATGAGCTAGCAACATGGCTGAAACCTCACAACTGTGAAACTTTGCATATCCTGTGAAACTTTAAAGTGTTTATTTGGATAGGATAATGCATAGTTTCCGGCTGTCCTCTCCCATGCAATAAAGTATAGATTGAGTAGTTTGAAGTAGAGTAGATTGAATCCCAGCCTGAATGGGTACAATTAGAAAATCATAAATTAAAAGACTGCAATGATTCTGATTCATTGTTGTCCTTAGTAAATAACTATTTATATTGTCTTCTTGAGGTCTCATAAAGTATATATTATGAACCTGCTAAACTTTTTTGTCTGTCCTTGTTTTAGTGTTACTTTATTGTGAAGTGTCTTTGAGTTTTTGTGAAAAGCACTATATAAAAATTGTATTATTATTATTTATATAATAATAATACTAATAATAATAATAATAACCTGCTAACCCTTTTGTTTGATATCTACAAATATGTGTAAAATGAATGTGATTTTTGTGTTAGTTTACAGTTAAAAAAAGTGATTTGGTGTTAAAAATGAACCATGAAACCAATCACAGTACTTAGTTCAGGACTATAACTATGCAGACTATACTATTCTTGACACATAGATAGAGCAGTGACAAAAGCTGGTTGTGCTCATAATTTAAGAAACATTCATACCCAAATGTTAAAAGAGACATGTCTTATCTTAAGATTTTTTTTTTTTAATAAATATGACCAGTGCATTGTTGTATTTGGCCTAAACTGATGTGTTTATGTTTTGTTTATCAGATCATTTCAGCACAGCAGCTGCCCAAAATCAACACAGAGAAGGCCAGCTCCATTGTGGACCCCCTCGTCTGGGTCGAGATCCATGGAGTGGACATAGACAATGCTAAAAACAAAACCCATCGCATCGACAACAATGGTAATTTTGTGCTTTTGTTCATAAATGTGTCCTGCCTCCAGATCAGATCAATAACACATGAATATGTGCAGTTTATGGATGGATTATTTATATATTTTTCACTGTTGTGTAAACATGTGCTCCTTCCTGTTTAAGGCCTACAGTAGTTTGTATGAGAGGAACAGTGACAATTTACAGCTCTTGTGCGCCCTCTGCAGGATTCAACCCGAGGTGGGACTGCACTCTGAGCTTCCAGCTGCAGGTGCCAGAGCTGGCCCTGGTGCGGTTTGTGGTGGAGGACCATGATCACACAGCAAAAAATGACTTTGTGGGACAGTTCACTTTGCCTTTTACGAGTTTACGAACAGGTCTGTGAACGCCTCACACTGCACTGCTAATGTCACCAGTGTTAGTAACCATTATTATGTGTCCTCAGGTTATCGGCACGTTCACTTACTGAAGGCAGATGGCTCCAGTCTGTCCCCAGCCACTCTCTTTGTGCACGTTAAAGTGGCACGCAGAGGAGTTCCCATCAAAACCGTGGCGGAGCGAATGGCCACCGCCAAAGGCAAAGCATGATGTGAATCTAAACGGCTGCTAAGCGGTTATTCCAAAAAAAAAGCTTTGGTCAAAGCTTTTGAATACAGCAACACTGCTTCTGCAGTGTGCCAGTGTCCTGGACCAGACCTCAAGTGGTCCAACTCACACAGAGCCACGAGTCCAAAGGAAGAGAGAATCTGAGTCCTTAACAAATGATGTGCCTCAGGCTGGATCTATGACTCACTGTGAGAGTGTCTACAGCGCACTGAATATTGTATTTTATCGAATACAGTGACACAATCTGAAGTATTTTACTTATACTTAATTATTAACTCAGTATTAACTCTAATGAAGTGATTAGAGGTTAAAATATTTAACATATTTAAGAGAATGTACTTATGTTTGTGTTGTTATAACTGGATAATGCTTGCATGTTTGATTATTACTACGTAATTTTTAAAATATGTAATAATAATTTGCATTATTATATTAAATGTAATTTTGTTGTATTGTAACAGAATACATTTCAACATTTTAACAATGGGTGATGCACACCCAGTCTTACTTGAAACATCTCCTACATCAAGCACTTTGTTACTGATTTTAAAAGTAGGCTACATACAGTATTCTACACTGTATCTTAAGCAGACATTTGTTGTTTACAAAACCTCTTAATTGTCATTTTGATTGTTCTGTGTCGGCAAGCTGAAGTTGTGGCTTTACGTGAAGAGGCTTATCTCAGTGGATTACATATTACTTACACACTACTGCAGAATCTTACAATACTGACTGAACTGTGCCCGTCATGCTGTAGGCACTTTTATTTAATGTTCTGCATTGAATACTTAAAAATTATGTAACAATTATAACACTAGAAGCTGTGTCAAACTTTATTCATAATGTGAATTTTGTTTCATCTTTTGTGTGTGCAAATAATCTACTGTTTTCATAACAAAGTTAAACACTGTTGTGAAATAAGATTTGAGACATCACTGAGTTTCAAACATTAAAGTTTGATAAAGTTTAGTTTGTTTTTGTCATGGAGGATTTGAATATGAATCAGTTAGACTGGCTTTTGAGTTTTGTGTTATATCTAATTAAATCTAAATTGTGCAATTAATGTATCTGATTAATTTTAATAACATCCACCATAGTTGATTACAGTGCTGTAATTACTGTCCTATAAGCCTGAATAAAGAAATAATACCATTAGACAATACGACTGTTATTTGCAAACCCATAGCTTTTCATATAGACCCCACATTATGTTGTATACTGGGCACAATGAATGCACTTGAGGGCAAAAGGGGCTATCACAAACTTGCAGCCCTGCACTGACTGAGCCAATGGCATCAAAGCAGTTTTAAAGGCGTAGGGGCACGCACGCGGCAGCTGCACACTTCCGTGTTGAAGATGGCGGATGAGAATGAGACAGCACCGATGCCGGAGAACGAAGATGTAGAAGACCACGGACACTGCAGCGACTGTGAAAATGACGAGCACCACTTTGACGATGGGTAAATGGCACTCTCTGTCATCTTAGCGATGCAAAACTTGCCACGTTTTTTGCGTTATTTTAGCTTAGAGATAACAGAATGAAAGCCAGACGAGCAGCCAGAATCGACTGCGCTTGGGAGCAGTAATCCCGCCCACTTGTCTTTACCTGATTGGTTGAAGTGCTTGTTTGTTTGCTCATTCTGTGATCTGATTGGCTGTCGTGGAGTTCTCTTCCTCATTTGGGTGGGCTCAACGCCGCTTTCCTCTAGTTTAGCTTTTAATGTTAATTGAGGATAAAAAATGTGCTTGAAAGCTAGCCAAAACTAACATCATATTACAACTAAAAGCGCGGGGCAGAACGTCTATCAACGTATCAAAATCACAAAATCTTCAAAATCTTTATAATTAGCATGTCGCAAGAGTAAGCATGCAGAGTATGCATTTGACGGCAGCCTCATTTGACATTTGAAGAGTTAGCTTTCAGGCTAATTTAGCTGTCAAACCCCCATTGTGTTAGTCTTGGCACAGACTGCACAGCTGAAACCGAAACAAACAAGGTTGATGTTACGCGTTTACCACCGTAGAAATGTTTGTTGAGCCTTTATTAAACTACAATACAACATAATAACCCAGCTCTTAATACTTCGCCCAATTAAACGTGTAATAAAATATACTAGCTTTGAGCATTAGACAACACATCGATATTAGCTTGTGTGTGCTTTGGTAATTGACAGCGGACAAACTGATAATAAACTGACCAAATGAATTATGTGTGATCAAAATTAAGGTGTGTCTTGTTTGCATTTTAAAATCAGTTGTATTTTCGGAAATATACAGAATAATAAATCATTGCATATGAGACAGATGCATGCACCCATCTACATTAATGTAGTAGTTATACACATTTAGTAGTTAGTTAGTGTCAATTATTAAAAAAAAAATTAGGTCCAATCTTTTTTCCTTGTCTTTCAGTTAGCTTGGATCACACACACACCTAAAACAGTAATGGTTTTATCTTCTCACATAAAGTCTTTTAAAGCTGACAGAGTAAACAGAAAGGTACGCTAATACAAATAGGCTACTGAACAGTCAGGGATCATTATCGTTTTGGATCAGGTATCACCCCATAGCAGTATATTGAAACTCTAATATCTCCAAATCTGTTGTTTACTTAACTGTAGGTTATGCAAAAAATGATCAGTCCTCATGTGCCACTCCCAGTAATCTATACAATTTAGGGATGCACCGGCTTTTTCAGTTCCAATACCAATTCCGATACTATAGCTTTAAGTATCTACCAATACCCAATCTCACGCACTATACACAATATCTCGATTTTGCTGCAATGGGCAGCTTTGGAAGTTGATTCAATTTTTTACCCATTGCAACATAAAAATGACAGATTTTTTAATGAAATTGGCTGCTGCTCCAGTGAAAGAAATGTAATGACTATTAATTGAATTGAGGCAAATATGGAGTTCTCGTTTTAGACTAGAAAACAAAGCTTGATTATGGCGATGAACTGTGATGTAGTGGAAGGCTGTGGAACAAACCATTCAAAGCTTTGTTGTCTATTGTCTGTAGCAGCCACTCATTGACCCCTGGCTCGTACATACATTACACACTCCTTCTGCAGAGGTCATGTGATTCACCATCTGTGCGGCCGGACCCAGGGCAAGGCCACGCTCTCCTCACGGACACTAATGAGATTATCCTGTGTAAGTACGGAGGCTCAGGAGGGACATAAGATGAGGCAGTGGAGTAGGGCTGTGTGGTTGCTCAGCTTTGGACCAGAAAATGTGCTTTGTTGATACAACTTTGGAAAATAAGTTCTAAATCAAAATCTGACTATGGAAACTATTTGACAGCTGCTTTTGTATACTTGTGGTTTGATCAGAACATATTTCTGTCAACCCATGTTTCAAAATTACTGCAAAAACATGTCAAGCATAAATGTTACAAAAATAAGATGAGTTAATTGTTTCAGTTTGTGCTGGGTATTGCCAAGAACCTCACAATACAATATGTGTCCCAATACAAGGCAATGATATCCTTGAAAAGGGTCCAGAATGCCGTTTCATATAGATTTGGTTAAGATTATGGTGGCACAAATCATTTTTATTTGAATGACTCAATTTCATTCAATTTGTGGAGCATACATATCACTTACTCCCTATATTTAATCTTTAACCAGTCATTTTTGACCAGTCTAGTCTCTTTTATAAGTTTATAATAATACAACAAAGCAACAAAGTCTAATTTTGTTATGCCAATATAGTCCAAGTTGTTTTTTAGGCTATGAGAGTGCCACCATTGTCTCCTGTATTAATGGGGAATGGAGGTCTCAAAAGTTTACCAAATTAATACAAAATACATTGTAATTTTGTTTCCACAGTGCCTTTAATGTCAGCACAATAACTCAGTTTTTCATCTTAAGCCTTAATATAGGTGTATATTTTGTCAGTTTATAATGAATTAACATTGTCAAAAGTATTGCATCGTGCTTCTCTGAATTAGGCCTGTCACAATATTTACTATATGGATATATCGTTCAATATATGAAAGCTGGAACAATATATTTTGGGGCTCAATATTTATCATGTGTACAGTTTCTTTGCAATAGCAGGGAGATTTTTCAGGGTAGCTGCGGGGTCTTAAAAGTCTTAAAAAGGTCTTAAATTTCATGTTCCTAAATTAAGGTCTTAAAAAGTCTTAAATTTAGTTTTCCAAGTGTTATTTTTTTCACAAAGGTCTTAAATTTCATTAGCCTATTTTTTTTGTAAAATCAACCAACCTACAGTACAATGCTAAACGAAGGGGGAAAAAAAACAGCAACAATGTGAAATCATGTAATGTGAATAAATGTCTAATTTGAAATATGTGCAAACAATACTTTGGTTTCTGGCACCGACGGTGATGAGTAAACCATCAATAGAGTGGAGGAACATACTGGAAGGATCATGGGGAAGTGTAGGTTTAATCCACAGTGGCTCTAGATGCAGTAGTTGGTTGATCATTATTAGAATTGGATCTGGTGGTTTTCGCCCGCATGTTGGGTGTGATGTTGGTCTTAATTTTCATTTAAGTGGTCTTAAAAAGGTCTTTTAAAAAGTCTTAAATTTGAGGTAATCAAACTTGGGGATACCCTGTTTTTGCCATTTTCATGTAATAAGGTTTTGAGTTGAAGATGGTTGAATAGAAACTTTCTGTGGCTAATTACTGGTTCTTTTGTTATTTATTTGTTGCAGCTTATGGCTTTTTATGAGTATATTTAAAAATGAGTTTATTAGGATTCACCTGCTCTGTGTCAGTGGCATTAAGTAGTTCCAATATTATTGTTTATTGCACTATTTTTCTGCTTCAAAATCATGACAGGCCTACTCTGTATGGTTATGTGTATTGCAGTATCGGTAGTTTGAGTACAGCCCAAGTTTCAATCCATCCACAGAATGTCACAAGATGGTGTATTTATTCTGCGTGTCCCAGGACTAAAAATGTAGGTCAAATCCTCAAACTAATCAGTTCCACAAGGACGCAGAGTCATGGGCAGATCTTGGACAAGAGTGACTTTGAGATCTTTCTATCTTCCAGATGGTTTTGAAGAGGTTTATTATTATTTCCCTTAATAATGGACTTCATATTGACCCATATATTTGTTTTTTGACAGTGACAAGGGTGAAGACTCTGGCACCAAGAAGAAGAAAAAGAAGCAGAAAAAGAAGAAAAAATCTGGTGCAACAGAAGGAGCTCAGGACCCTCTCGCCAAGGCAAGACATTTTTTCTTGATCAAGTGGTTAACTGTATACTTTTCTATGTCAAAATATCAGATTGAGGGCAAAAGTTTAAGGTGCACTATGTAAATTTTTATGGTAGGGGTCCCCTACCTGTTTGATTCCTCAGAATGTTCTACAGAATGGCATTTAATTTAACTATCTCCTATGGAGACAAGCAGGCCACATGACAAGGCTGAGTTAAAGGTCAGATCTGTGGAGAAGAGGGCCTGTTTACAGTAATAATGAATGTTTTGCTGTAGTTTAACAGAAATAAAAACACTTGTAATTGAAATAAGTACAAGAGCTAATTGTTTAATGCCATACTGTGGAACATCCCAGGCAAAGCAATAACTAGAAAAGCACTCAGAGAGCGCAGACCTCCGCCAAGGACTACCCCCTTTTTTTATATAAATTGCAATAAAATCAGTCTTCTGGATCAGATCCGGATCAGCCTTTGGAATATGAAAGAGGATCCCATTGTCAATCCCTGAGTCAAATTTCATGGGGTTTGGTCAATAATTAACTGAGATATTGAGAAACACAATTTTTGGCCCCATTTACCACAATGTTAACTAAAATTTCAAAGTGATCCAGAATCCAGAATTTCTTCCGGATCACCCCCAAAATGAAATCATTTCTTCCTTTTCACATTTCCAACAAATCCTGAAAATTTCATCAAAATCGGTCCATAACTTTTTGAGTTATGTTGCTAACAGACAAACAAACAAACAAACAAACCGACAAACGCCGGCAAAAACATAACCTCCTTGGCAGAGGTAATGAATAGATACTTTTGTTATCCCAATGGAATTTTTTTTTTTTTTTAGGCAGCATACGGTTCATAATACAATACATAATATAATACACATCATCAGTTTATCATATCTATGGTGACAAGTTGATGGAAGTCCCTCCATCAGAAAAGCTGTGTAGTGCACAATTGAATAGTTGTGATTAAGCAGTTTCTTTATTTTCAGCCCTACTACAGACTATAAAGGCATCTGAGTGTTTCAGTTATGTCACCACTTTAATGACATTATCATGAAATTTAATTTGCAGTCAATGTTTTGCGACTAACTTCTTCAGGGCTTTGTGTTATTTGTGTTATTTATTGCGGTCATTTTTTTGTCTTTTTTCCTGGAATATTCCACAGTATGACTTTAAACAGCTCTACGTCAGATTTATTCAATTACATGTGGTTTTATAGCTCAAAAATGCCTAGATAAACAGGCAGACTATGAGCAAGGTTGCCTCTCCACAGATCTGACCTGTAACTTGGTCTGGTTTGGTCTCCATGAAAGTAGAAAGGTTTAATACCATACTTTGAAACATTCCAGGCAAATCAATAACATTTTCATGGAACTCCACCTCCATCAGAAATGTTACACAATGCACCTTTAAACTAACCAACAGCATTTTTACACTTATGCAAAACATTCTACCATAGAGTCCTTAGCTGCCCTCGGCTCACTTTAAACTATGGGCCCCTTAGAATGTTGTGGGATCACATGAGAGTAACTTACCCCATGCTCTTCCAAACAGGTGAACTCTTTGCCAGCGGATAAGCTACAAGAGATCCAAAAGGCCATCGAATTGTTCTCTGTCGGCCAAGGCCCTGCCAAAACCATGGAGGAAGCAACTAGAAGGAGCTACCAGTTTTGGGACACGCAACCTGTGCCCAAGCTAGGTATGGTTTTGGAAGACCAGGAACTATCTATGATAAAGTATCTATCTAAGTACTAAGTACTTATCTATGTAAGTAATTAATGGCCTATATTATGAAAATGTCCTCCTTTTGACATTTCTACCACGTAAGAATTTGGCATCAAAAACATTCTCCAAGTCTGTTGTTTGATATTTCAGTAAACTTGCATATTAAAGGATCTGTATTGCAGTATTTTCACCTGTTATAATCTTGTTTCCTCATAAAAAACATACCTGGAATTGTGTTTTCTTTCATTCACACAGATTGAGTTCTTCTCTCAAACACTCTGTTTCACTTTGTGATGTTATGTGGTAGGAAGGATGTGCTCACTTGTGTTTAAACTAAATACACTTTCACAAGAATCGTTTGGATAATTTCAGTCCTGGAATTGCCCATCTCTACTGAGCTAAAGGTAAAAGGTCACTGTTAACTTGAAAATCACACAAGGTGGAACAGAGTATTTTGAGCTTTGGAGATGTAGAAAGACTAATATTAAAGGCTTTCTGGTCGCGAATATTTACAGAATAAAGTGTATTATTGATGAAACCCTGATGATCGTGATGATTATGGTAATGAATTCTCTGTCCTTCGTTAATTGAGATAATCAAATTACAACAAATTATGTTTTATAATTGACTAATCACAATGAATCAATTAATCATTACAGCCCTATTTGTTGGTTTATGAGACACTTGAGAATCATATTTCTGTTACTGTTTTCTAAATCTGCTCTTTTCGTTCAGGGGAGACAGTGACTTCACACGGCTGCATTGAACCTGACAAAGACCAGATCCGAGAGGAGCCCTACAGCCTCCCACAAGGCTTCTGCTGGGACACTCTGGATTTGGGCGACCCTGGAGTGGTAAGAAAAGCTAAAATAAAAACCCATAATATATTTTAAAATGTTTGTTAGGCCTGTGACGATAATTACTGTATTAACTTATCATTCAATATATGATGGGTGTTTTGGCAATCAGTATTTATCATGGGTACTTTGTACTAGTGGGGAACTGTTTTATCTTTCTGTACTACCATAAGATTTGAGCCATAGAGGTTTGAATAAATAACTTCTGTGACTCATTAAGTGTTTCATGTATTTATTGCAGCTCATATTCATTAATAATACTGTGCATATAGAAGAATTTTGGGCGTAATGACTTTCAGTAGTTATTGTCTGTACTTAAAATTTTGCTATTGTGACAGGCATAGTTTTTTGGATAATTTGTGTACATTTCTGGTCTCAACATGGTGAATCATTTAGATTTTGACTCCAATAACCATTTTGTTGATGCTTCATCATTTTCTCATATTCAGCTTAAAGAGCTTTACACACTTCTGAATGAGAACTACGTAGAAGACGATGACAACATGTTTCGCTTTGACTACTCCCCCGAGTTCCTGCTCTGGTGAGATTTTGTCTTTCCATTTGATGTCGAACAGTTTATGCACTTCTGTAAACAGACTGTAGCTTTGCTGCACGCTCAGTGTGGTTAAGAGGAGAGACGAATTATGCTTTTTAATAGAAACTTAGATTAGATTTTTTACTTTTGTCAAAACAAGCATTCAGCTGCTCTTTTGTAATAAGGTCTGATCACTTTGTGTAACTCTCATGTTGTAATGTGTTTACTGTTTGCTTTGTTATTGAATGTCTGTACAGTGCTAGTGTCTGTTGTCCTGCCAATTACTACAGATGGAAAATATCCATTGGGCTAATTCTGGCATAATTATATTGTATTGTATTTTTTTTTCCCCCTCAGGGCTTTGCGGCCTCCCGGTTGGTTGCCCCAATGGCATTGTGGGGTGCGGGTAAACTCTAACCAAAAACTGGTCGGCTTCATCAGTGCCATCCCGGCTAATATACGTATCTATGACATGTAAGCAGCAAATCTATCTTGCACATATGAAAATATATCCTGAGAATATTGTTGAAGTTACCTTATTCTTTATTTGTGTAATTGATTGAGATGTGGTTCTGTTTTTTAGAGAAAAGAAAATGGTGGAGATAAACTTCCTTTGCGTCCATAAGAAGCTTCGGTCCAAACGCGTGGCTCCGGTGCTGATCCGAGAGATCACCAGACGAGTGAATCGTGAGGGCATCTTTCAGGCGGTGTACACAGCTGGAGTGGTACTGCCCAAACCCGTCGGCACATGCAGGTAGGGCTGTCGTGGTGACAAAATTTGAAGTGCGATCTACTGCTGAAGTAAATATAGATGATAAGCGATAATACTGAAACTAATGTAAGCCACTGACACAATAACCCTAAAGCAGATTTAAAACACAACAAAATATTCTGAATCTACAATATTATAAAAAAACATGAGCTGCAATATATAAATAGCCGAATGAAACACTTTAGTAATTAGTTTGCATCTGTAATGAGTCACTCATGAGTCAACGTCTTACAGATCAAATCTTTTTCTTTTAGCCAAAACATTACCCCAAATTTTCCAGTAGTGCTAAGAAGATGTACAAATGATAAATACTGAACCCCAAAATATATTGTTACAACTTTCATATCTTGAATAATAATAAGTTGATAAGTAACATATAATGCACTATACTCTATAGCAGTGGTTCTCAAACTTTTCCCTGCATCTATAAGGTCATAAATAAATTAAGTAGAATACCACCACACAGTATGGAATGCATAAATAATGCATGAAAAGCAACTTTGAGCATCTGGAAAATCGCTATATAGGACTAGTACATTATTTTTTTTGTCAGATGTTCACCAACAGAATATGATTAAATTTGAAGTGAATTTGGATGAAATATGACTTGGCCTCCGTTCTTGTCTCATGTTCAGTTAAATGTTACTTAATTATTTTGGGACCATGTACCAGGATCGCCTACATATGGCTCACTTACTGTGGAAACATTTGAAACTAGTGCAGGGAGCTTAGTTTGTAACCGACAAGACAACAAATATAGGCCAATTTGCATCAACATCTGTCACAGTGTGGCTGGAATTAAACCATACAAATGTTAAAATTGAATGTGTAAAGTTAAAGATGCGTTTAACTTGATGGAGTTGGTATCAAAAAGGTGTAAGACAAACTTATTGCTCTTCAGTATCAAATCAGACACTTCTGTGAAACTGGTCTAATCTAAGACATATGTCTTTACACTGGTAAAAATCTAACCAGCTTGTAATTGTTATTTAAACATTGCTTATTCCTCTCTTTTGTGCAGGTACTGGCATCGCTCTTTGAACCCCCGAAAGCTCATCGAGGTGAAGTTTTCTCATCTGAGCAGAAACATGACTATGCAGCGCACCATGAAGTTGTACCGTCTGCCTGAGGTGGGCCACTCAAACACTGACCCCTTTAAAAATACATCATTTGACACTGACCTCATCTCACCTACTGATCTCCCTGCGTTTGTTCCAGGCCCCAAAGACGTCAGGTCTGAGGCCCATGACCAAAAAGGACGTGCCGGTGGTGCATCGCCTGTTGAACGAGTATCTGAGTCAGTTTAACCTGGTGCCTGTGATGAACCAGGAGGAGGTGTCCCATTGGCTGCTGCCCCGAGAGAACATCATAGACACTTTCTTAGTCGAGGTAATTTAAAAAGGTGGTGTTATTTTAGGATGTTATACGCACTGTAATACATGCAATGACCTAAATTCAAAACATTCATCTTATCAATAAGATGAGTAAGATTAATATCAATATTTAGGTGTAAGAAAAAATTTATTCAGGGATATACTTTTCTGAAATCCTAATTATTATTAGATAATTAGATCATTATTAAAAATTGTTGTATTTACCATTCTCATAATTTAAAAATTAAATAAATTTTACATTTTTGTTCTTATGAAGGTGTATTAGACTTTAATATTAGATGCAAGTACTGTAAGTGTAAATCACTATATATGGTCCTTTGTTTTAGCACTAGGCTAATGTCATGATCATATTGTGACCAGTCTACCTTAATATGTATCACTGGCTTCATTAACTTAAAGGCGCATTATGTAACTTTTCTAGTAGTTTTCCACCTTCACGTTTCCATGGTGCTGTTTCTTTGCCTGGAATGTTCTGCAGTATGAGATTCCACTACTGGTAACCAATAACTAGAATGCATGTTTTTGAAGTCATTTTTGTGCATATTAACATCTATAATGAGATAAATGCTAGATCAGTATGTTTTATGAAGTACTTTGGAGCATTTCTGAGCAAAGCATCTCCATGGAGACAAGCAGGTGGCCTAACCCTCCACCAGAAAAGTTACATAGTGCTCTTTTTTTAGTATTTTATCTTTCTGTACTGCATTTGAATAGTATTTTCTTACTTTCTTTTTCAGAACAATGGCAAAGTGACTGATTTCCTGAGTTTCTACACACTGCCCTCCACCATCATGAACCACCCTGTGCACCGCAGCCTGAAGGCCGCCTACTCCTTCTACAACGTGCACACCACCACCCCACTGCTCGACCTCATGTCCGACGCCCTCATCCTGGCCAAATCGGTGCGGCCCCTTTTTTGTGTTAAAGGGCCCATATTATGCTATTTTCTGATCCACGTTGTGTTGTTTCCTCATCTCAAACGTACCTGGAGTTTTGTTTTTTTAATTTGCACATGTAATTAGATTATTTCAGCACTGGAATTGCCAGTCTCTTGGTAAAGGTAACTATGGCTTCATGACACCGCAAGGTTGAGCTAAACATTTTGAGCTTTGGTGATGTAGACAGATTAATAATGCAGGATTACTCAAACATGTAAATGAAACCAAACACCACACCAGGTATGTGTTTGAGAAGGTAACAATGTTCTAACATGACTAAAAGCTCACTTTTGTGTAATATGGGACCTTTTTAAAATGATCTTATTCTTTGCATATGACATGATTTTTATGTTCTCTTGTTTTTCATCTATGAACAGAAAGGATTCGATGTCTTCAATGCACTGGATTTAATGGAAAATAAGACTTTCTTGGAGAAGCTTAAGTTTGGAATTGGAGATGGCAATCTACAGTATTATCTGTACAATTGGAAGTGTCCCAGCATGGGATCAGAAAAGGTATGCTCTGTGATTTCATTAAAACATTTATTAATACAATCCATCTTTGAAATTGCAAATGGATAATTGCTTCAAATCGGACACTGCTTTACTTTGTGTTTACAAATATTTTTTATGACAGTTCTGCTTTTTCTTGCTGCTGCAACATTACAGTTTGCATATTATTTTTATTAGGTACAAATCTTTTCTTCTCTTCCTTTTAAACGATGCCGTCACTGCATCACAATCTATAGATGCTGCTGTCATACTGATTAAATGACAGACCTGTATTGCTTTATTTGCTTTACTGAACTGCAAATGCCATAATCAATAGAGTTATACAGATATAGGCCTGTCTCAATAACACATTTTGAAGTGTTGATATTGGAACTGAAAATATTACAAGAATACTGAAGAACTCTTTTAACTATTTTGAACCTAATCAATAAAGTAATGGCATAGTGAAATACTTTGGTAGATGCATTGAGGTTAAAGCCCCACAAAACACTAGTCTTTGCTATATAATCCCATATATCTGACTTCATATTTTTAATGTCTTCTGTATGTATATCAAATGTTTACATACATTGAACGAGAGTGTGTCTCCAAATTTTTGGCACTGTATATTTGAATATAAAAAGATTTGTTTTTTTGTGTCTTCAGGTTGGCTTGGTACTGCAGTGATATTATCGGCCATGAACAGTGTAAACCCAGGAGACGGCCCCATTACTGTCCCACTGCGCAGATGACTGACACTTCTGGTTCATGAGAAAGCATCCATCTATTCTCTTTTTTTACTTTTTGAACTTTGTCCTGCACTACCGCTGCCAGCCAGAGGGGGGCGTCTTCTCCGCCTCTCCTCTGAATCACATGGACCTTAAGCCATTGTAGTTACCATCCCGTTCAACTGTATTACAAATGAAAGCTGATTTGATTGTACCACATAACATAGCATAATACAGAAAGACATAAGGTTTGCACTGATCATTCTTATACACTGTTGGCTGAATCCTATCTGTGTACATATACAAGACACTGCAATCCTAACAGGTACAAAACACTTCTAAATGTTGGAAATGCTTTTCAAAACTCAAGTCTAGCGTCCGGTTTTAGAAAAAAATCAAATGAAATAAACATTTTTAAAAACAACGCAAAATGAAATGGGGTTATGAGTAAATGCCAAAACGATAAGGGCTTTTGTTACATTTCATATTACGGTTAATAATTTACTTTAGGTGTGGGCAATATGGCAGTAACCCAGTGTTTCCCATCAGTTTATACAGAGGCTACGGTGGCATAAGCGGTCCATATTTTCATCATTTTATTCAATACAATATGTCAGATACAGTGATGGGAAGAATACTTTGAGAATGTTTTTAGTATACTGAATACCTGTTTTTGTATTCTGATACATAGGCCAACCAGAGTACTGTATTCTGAGTACTTGGATTACTTTCACTTCGAGTTATATTTAAATTAGAATAAGAGTAATAACACCACATAGGATTAAAAACGGCTTTCAGTTTGTTATGCAGTCATTTATCACTGATCCGAGAAGTTAAAATCACACATCCCTGCACGACAAAAGCAGTGTTTTTTGTTTTGTTTTTTTGTCTCATTCTGTGCAGTTTGAAGACCAAATTGTGCGATGAGATACTACCATGTATTCCTTTGAATTAAGAAAAATATTCTGAGTACCACCAAATGAAAAAGTACTTGTACGGAATAGAATTATTCAAAATTATTATTCAGATTACTTATTCTCTTGTACATATAATCAGCTACTTCCCAACACTGATCAGGTATGTCCAAACTATGGCTTAGGGGCTTATAAATGCACATATTTCAATGATTTATTGTACTGAACACCAGTGTATGGCGCTCCGTCAGTCTTCTGCATCGTCTGTGTTTTGATATATGTGACCCTTGATGAAAAAACACTTGGACACTTTGCAATATACTGTATGGAGAATAAGTCTTAATTTATCAGAAGAGCCAAAAAAATTTATATATAAATATATAATATTTATTTAAATATATGAAGTACAATTTATTTTGCCAGTTTTTTGTTCAAATTATTTTTAGACTTTGAAGGGCCACCGTAGTCTCATATTAATGGGAAACACTGATAGCCTATTAATGAAATTTTCAGCCTTCTTTTTATTATTTTGTCAGTTTTTTTTAAAGACAGAATGAGCAAAAACTACATATTTTGTCTTTAAAAAAAGAACACACAAAATTAAGATATGATAATATAATACCATATTGTTTTAGAAATGTGATTCTGTTTTGGTTATATTATAACACAGTTCGTTGCTTTTCTATTTAAGGTATCTTAATGCCAAACACAGCCAATTTTCCCCACACTCTCCTCCTATTGATCAGCCTTTCATCCTCTGAGGGCTTGGCTTTGGTTAAAGATATAATTAAGATATTAAAGGTGCATCATGTAATTTTTCTGGTGGAGGTTCCAGTCTGGCATCTGCAAGTCTCATGAAAATGTTATTGCTTGGCCTGGAATGTTTCACAGTACGATGTAAACTTGCGTATCTTTCATGTATTTAATTACATATGTTTTTATATTGCCAGAAGATACTTGGTTTGCTGGAGTCACTTGCTTGTCTCCATGGAGATTTTGTGGAACATTCCTGGCAAAACAATAACATATCTATAGAAAATATATAAGATTTTGGACTCTTTTACACAAAAGCGTACATGGTGCCCCTTTAATTAAGTACATGTTTTGGAATTATTGTCAAGTCTCTTTGAACATACATTTTCTTGTCATATCGCCCAACCCTAGTATTTTTTTGTTTCTAATTTCCACCCCGTATTCAGTATCATTCATACATTTTACACTGCTACATTTGTTAGCGCTGTTTTATTTCATTTCTCATTAGGATTACTGCACTAACAGAAGAAGCGTGATTTAGACAATAATGAAATACTGACTGTTAATAATAAACCAGTTCAGTCTATGACCTGAATCAGAGTTGGGCCTTTTAATCCACCACAAAGATGGACTTTACTTGAAGGTTTTCTCAGTAAAGACTTGGCTGTTTTGGTTATACTGGACCTAGTTTCAATTTCCACTTCTTTTACTCATTAGTGAGTTAATGCAAAATATATATGGAGCAAAATTCATATTTAAGTTTGAGATTTAAACACCGTTGGAATAATTTATTAATGTAAAGATGCACTGTGTGACTTTTCTGGTGTGGGCTCATCTCCATGGAGATGCTATTGCTTTCCTGTAGTGTTCCACAGATAGGTGTTAATCTCTCCATAATAAAGTAAATGATAAAATGTCATAGAAACAAGTATATGGTGGACCCAACACCAGAAATGTTACACGGTTTGTATTTAATCAGGTTCAGATTTAGTTATAGTTGTGGATTTTGACACTTTGTCCCTATGAAATACATTTGCAGGACATTGTGAACTGAAGTTGTTTCTTAATATAAAAATTTCAGTTTATTTGCAAATGGTTCTTATTTGGTTTCATGGAGTGTTACAAGAGAAGAATGTGAAGATGTGGGTGATTTTTTTTCTCTCTTTTTTTGAGCAAAAAATAAAATTAGGAAGTTATTGTGAAGCTACTGTTTTTTTTTTCTTCTTAACATTTCAATGATGTGGCAAATTTTTAATTAAATTGACATTGCTTTTATTGGAGTTTAAAAACATGGTGGAGCACTTCCTGTACCACATGACATCACAAGGTGGAACAGAGAGTTTTCCTTTTGAGAGAAGAACTCTGCCTAAATATGCAGGGTATATGTGTTAAACATACTGTATATCTAAAAGTGACTAAAATATATTGTGAAGACTGGAGAGTTCATAAATTACAATCAACTTATTTTATTTTATTATTTTGTTTCTAGAAGTTACAGATTTTGTACAGTAACACTGGGTCCCTTTTTTCTTCTTTTTCCACCCTATAGCTATTTTGACTACTTTTTATTTGCAGGCCTACTTGAGTAATATTTTCTGTACTCTAATTTTACTGAAGTACTTTCAGTTGACTCTACTACATGTTGAGTTATACAATCTGGGGTTGGACCACTGACTGTCACTTCTTCTGTAAAATGGACTTATTGTCTGAAATGACATGGTCTCACTGGACCTATGAGAGTGCCCGTGGGCGGTTCAGAGATTACACAATGCTGTTTGTTGGACCGGGTTGCCAGGTTGGAACATATTTTGTACCTTGGGGTGTTCTTAAAGGGGTTGGATGTTTGCAATCCGGTTTGGCAACTTGGAATCCTACACTGTGCGTCTTCCGCCTTCTCTCCAAGGGTAGTGGATGCACGCGTCGCAACGATGTGGATCAGCGTTGCAATATTTTGTGCAGCTTTGCTTGCACTAATATTAAAATATATCTTTACCACGCCTGGGCCCAATCCGTTTGAGAGGGATAGCCGCGAACCGGTCAGAGAGATCGTGCCCAGAAAGGAGAAAAACAAAGTGCTAAAGCAAGGTGAGTTATGACTATATATATTTGTTTATGATTGCAAACAATGTATAACACAAACGGTAAAGCATATTAGTATTATATAAACATGCAAATCTAGGTGAAAGGTAGTTAACTGTGATGCAATAATTAGCTGATAAATAATTTAAGATAGCGTTGGATGCCGATACGTTACGTAATGTCCCACGCGCAAGACGCATTTTAATTGTCAACGTAATCAAGATAAACATGTAAGTGCGTTTGGGTTTTGTTTATCTTTGTAAATACGGAGAATTCTGTCTCTCCTAAAAATAGTACCTTGCCAGTATTAGTTTTATGTAAACCTGCTCGTCTTATTTGTCCTGTTTGTAAATTATTTGCTTTAAATGTCTCACAGTATGGCACTAAAGTTCACTATCTTGTATGTTTTTTATTAGAGTTGCTTTAAATGCTAAAAATATACATTGTGAAAGATGGATCCTGATGTCACCTCTCCACAGATCTGACTTGTAACTTCGCTTTGTGGCATCTCCTGCTCGTCAAATAAGTTTAATGTCATACTGTGGACACTATCACGCAAATAAACCACATTTTCATGGACACAAGCAGAAAAAGTTGCTCAGTGTGTCTTTTAAAAATAACTGTTATAGTAGTTAATAATATAGTATTAGTAAGGTAAGGTAGTAGTGTGATTTGATTGTACGTGTTGAGATTTTAAAAAAAATGGCTAAAACATGCTTTGACATTACAACCCAAATAATATGAAGCGCCCAGTCCCTAACACAACTAAACACAGTTTTTGTTTTACTTTATTATCCCAAAGTCTTGAAGTGAAACAAAAAATACACGCTAATTTGAACGTACCTCCGTCAAATCAGTATCCTTATCATATACCATGTTTTTACAGGTTTTGTTGCCAGTAAAGTTCCAGAAAACTTGGATGCAGTGGTGATTGGCAGTGGTATTGGAGGACTGGGTATCGCGGTGCTTTTGGCCAAAGTTGGAAAAAGAGTTCTGGTTCTGGAGCAGCACGATCGGGCCGGGGGATGCTGCCACACATTCACTGAGAAAGGTTTCGAGTTTGACGTTGGTAAGAACTTGAAAGAGTAAAGGGCAAGTCTACAGGTGTGGTTTCTGAGTTTTCTGTCACGGTACAGCTAGTCCCTGTTTAGTTCCTATGAAGTCTTTTTTTACTATTTGCGGTTTAGTACTGGTGCAACTGGTTCATATTTAACTATGTAATTACATAAAATTGTCTTGTAATTCTGTTGATACCTGGCGTTTGATTTACTGTGCAGACTTGATCCTCCAGCAACTTCTTCTGTGTTTTTGTTTCTTCTTTTTCTTAGTTTTGCCCCAGGTATAAATTGGCTGTTTCTTCTTCCCTTTCTAAATCCAGTGTTGGGAAGATGTTGGTCATCTATTGCAATCTCATGATTTAAGTGTACTTTTGTTATTAGGGTTAAGGTCCTATAATGACTCTTGTTGTGAGCTTATAATTTTGTTACTTCATTAAGATATACCAGGAGTTGTGTCTTGTCTATATCTCTAAAGCTTAAAATGCTCTGTTCCACCTTTTGATGTCACAAAGCAGTAGGTTTCAAGTTGACAGCTACCTTATCCATTTAGTTTAGTAGAGATCACCAATTCCAGG